GTTCCTCCGGTGTACGGACCAGAGGCACATGAAACCCAGGACGAACAGGATTAGCGCCCAGATACAGATGCCAATCACAACCCATAGCCGCAGGCCGAACGGCGGCGTCCTGGAAGATAACTCTGCCCTCAGGATTTCGCCCGCGGACATCTTCGTTATTCCTCAGCAACCTACAGAGACAAGCAGCAGCAGTAATGCGATGTGAGCTTAGCACTCCGCCGGAGAAGACAATGGATACAAGCGGACCCGGGATAGCATTAGCACCCCTATGAATTTCGCGGAGAAAATGTAGCTCGCATTTAGGTTTGGAGTGCGAGTGCGAGTGCTCCTTTTCCCACGGCAGGAAGGGAAGCGGAGGGAATGAGCGGGCGTACCTGGCGGATGCCCGTCGGTGGTCGCCGGCGAAGCGGCCGACGAAGACCTGGCGAAGGGCGGCGCGCTCGCGGCTCGCCCAGTCGCCGCCGCCGCCCCCCACTAGAAGAGGAAGAGAGCGTGAGAGCGCGAGTGAACGGGAGAAAGGGGAAGAGAGAGAGGGGCGAGCGCGGACTCACAAAAATCCTCAGCCGTTGCGGCACAGTGGGAGTGGGAGTGGCAGTGGCAACGTATTGGACCATCGAGGCCACCCACATCTAGATCGACGGCTACAGATTACAAGACCCCGTCAAACTTCAGTTATTGAGGTTTTCCGTTTTCTCTTCACGCTTCCTACGATCCAGGAGATTGGAAATGAGGTGCCTCTCGATCCATCAAGTCAAGCTTCATTAATCAAGCATTTTTTTTTAACTTTTGACGGTTCAAGCGATTGAGAATGATATGCTTTATAGTTGATGAAGTGTGAATAGGTGTAAATGGACATCTAGACTTGGAGAAAGATTAGAAGGCAAGTCGACTGAGACGCTGTTAGGAACGGGTGATACAAAATCGTTGGACAGTAATAGTCGGGTCATAGACGACAGAGACACGGTTTAGTATGGAGAGACAACAATGCAGACTTTATCAGAGATAATGAGAAGTAAACAAGAAGATTTGATCTAATTATTTGGCACATAAAAGGAAACTGATCCAATTAATCAGGCTCAAATGAAAAAAAAACGCATAAGATCACTAAAAAGAGTCCTTAAAAATACTAGCTCACACCATTTCTGGTAGAGTAGCTTTATAAGCAGAAGTGCCACTAGAGAGTAGGGTTGACGTTGTACTTTGTAAATTCTTAAGGGGCATCATACACACCATCTAGAGTGACCTTTAGCTCTTCAAGTACTAAATGGTACTACCCTATGTGTGCTTCTTTCGATTCATCCACTTCAAGCTATTAGGTTTTTAACTTTTTTCTTTGTTGTGTTAGTGTCGGCGGGAAAATTAAAGATGGCGACCAAAGGCAAGCCAATTGCAAAGGGAGGAAGACAATGCTAGAATTCGTTGGGGAAGGGGAGATGAGAGGCAACACTAGTTTTTGAAAGCAAGCAAACATACATGTATTGTAGCGAAAATTAACATACAAAGAAATAGAACAAAACAATTGTAGAAGATTGGTTTTACGTGGCTGAAATACTTAACATAAACACCTCCTTTGTTGAGGTTTTCATTTAATGCACCTGTGAGTGGATGCTAGCAATGGTATCTTTCCTTAATTTGTCGCGAACTATATTGTGGAGGAATTGAGGCTTCTACGATGAAACATGTAGTGTTCTATGAGTGATTACATGTCCATGGAATCATATTTAATTAATAATCAATCATGATAAATTATTTTTTTTCCATAAACTGTTATGAGATATGGAGAAGTTGAGTATCAAGGCAGTCCTAAGTTAAATCATGTGAGCACTCAAATGAGAAAAGAAAACTAAGTGTGTTAACTGAAGTGTAGCGACTCGTGGCGTTAAGATGTGCACTGCAAATTTGGTACTAAGTTATATGCATGTTAGGGGTGTGCTTGAAAGGTCTTGAGAAATTAAAACTAGATTGTACTATGAATTTGTGAAAACTTAGAATGTTGACGACGTGGTAAGCTATTGGATGGAAAGGATCTAGCATTGCGACTTGCATTCATTCGATTCGATCGACCGTTCATAAGGTTGTAGTCTCCCGGGTGGACGCAGCAAAAAACCTGGTGTGAAGCAAAGTGGGGCCGGCGAGGAAAGGCGTGCGCACCATAGAGGCCCACAGCTCGCTTCCTAGTAAGTTCCAGGCTTTCAGCATGGGGAGTTGATCCGGGGCTAAAATTTAGAATATGTTACACGAGGGTGTTGTATAGAGTGATTACAAAATCCGTAGTATTTTATAAGATGAATTTACTAAGTCTAATTAATCTGTCATTAGCACATATTTACTGTAGCACTACATTATTAAATCATAAACTAATTAGATTTAAAATTTTATCTCATAAATTAGTCACAAATTATGCAATTAGTTTCGTAATAATCCGTGCATGTGTTCAAAGACACGGCCCGGAGGCAGCAGCATGCTGGGCCCACGAGGGGCACGGCGTGAGCATGCTAGGCTCGCTGTCGCGCACAGGAGCACTCGTGCTGATCGCAGTGTGCAGTGCAGCGCCAGCTTCATGGCCGTTGCCCGCCAGGTTTCACGGCAGGGCCCACCTACCGTGACGTGAGCTATTCTGCTCTAGTACATAGGTACGCGGGCCCACTTCCACATGAACAGAGAGGATGACACCCAGGTACAACCAGTTCACGGTCCAGCTGGGAAATGGTGTGGCCTCCGCCTCTGCTTTCGTTTTATCTGTCACCAGTGATTTATTACTGACGCAAACTTGATGATCCGAATTTGTTTAGGCATTTCAAAAATATGTATGATTACTGAAGTATCTTTAGCCACAAATCATGTGCGTATGCATGGTTTTTTTATTAAGTATCTCAAAATTATTAGCACGATAAGAATTGCTATAGCCTATAGTAAAAACCCTGGTGCCAAGTAAACCAAAAACAGAGAGAAGAACCTGCTTCAGTATTTTGCAAGGAGCTCATAAAGATTTATGTGTGTAATAACGTATTATTTGATAGTACAAAGTGACATTTCGGAACATTTTATTGATTTTCATTGGATTTCAGTTCCAAATCACAATACATACAAATGCACTCGCCTCCCCTTTGAATGTGTGCGTACACTTTACGTCTATAAACATGGTCAGCTCTAGCAGGGTCCCCAATCGAGCACACAAATCCTCCTTCCGGCACCCATTTCTGGGACTCTAGGCTAAGCCCCCAAAAGGCATCGTTTCTTCCCCGCATGCTCGCCTTCTCCACGCTTGCACCGTCGTTTCCCCCGCGCTCAACTCCCCCTGCCCATGTGCGACTTCCCGGCATTGACTCTATGTGAACATTTAAGATCGTTTTCTAGGAATTCTAAATTTATAACTTTAGAACACATATTTTGGACTCTAAACATCTTCAAATTAAAAACTTTTCAACTAAAGTTGTAGATTCTATTGAGAACTATAACTTTCGTATAGACCATGTCGGCATCCGAGATCGTTCGATAATTTTAAATTTCAAATTTCAAAATGTATGCACTTACAATAATATTTTGGGAGCCTAAACAGTTTCAATTCAAAAATCTTTCAACTACAAAGTTGTATGTCTCGTCGAGAGGTACAATTTGGAAATTTGTCTTCATCCAAGTTCATATAAAAAATCATGAATTATTTTTTGTTGCAATCATTAACCAAAATAGACATCTTAATACGCCTGATTTCGTAAATCGATTTACGAAGACGGACACTTAGAACGATCGCCTCCGAAAATGATCGATTAACGGAGCCGACGCGTCTTAAATTGTCCATCCCGGTTAATGGATTAATGACCGCCTTAACGGAGGCGAGCAACATTAGGTGTCCGCCTCCGTTAAGCATTAACTGAGGCGGGCGCTCGGCCAGCGGCCCTGCCACCGATTAATGGAGCCGGCCGCCCAGCCCGCACGCCTCGACTAATAAAATGGCTTCGCCTTGGAAAATCTTTTTTTCTAGTAGTGACTAGCGCCACCGCCCGTCCGATCACGCCTGGCCGACCCATCATGTTTGATGAGATTTTGTACCAAAATTTTCTCGCATGTGAGTATATATTAATATGTGCTATCAAGGAATATTTCTTACTCGAAGAGAAGATAAATGAATAACAAGCATCGTATATATGTGCATGTATGTTCACGTGTGCTAATTATGTACGAGAACAAGATATATAAGCTAGCAAATTGTCTAGGCTTGTACACGATATGAGCTCGTACAGATGCGCTTGTATATTCACATGAACTTGCATGTACGTCAATGCATAGTGTTCGTGTATAAATATTTGTCAAGGATACATATTGGATCTTATCTGAAGAGACCAGAATTCACCAGGCAGCCGATGTACATGGCGTCTGTGTATACGAGGGAGTTGAATCTGGATCTTGTACGTAGTATACGGCGTATAGGTGAGGCTGTGTACGGGAGTACGGTCTTGTAGTTCAACCACAGTCCGGCCCGGTGAATTTTTGGGCCTGCGGATGAGAAGTCCATCTGGTTTGGATTGTTACGCAAACCGGAATTCTTCTAGAAGGGTTACCACGTGAAGATATATATTCCCTCCGTCCCGTAAATTTTGCAATTGTAAGACCTGAGGGAGGTACCAATGCACCAAGGCAAATGACCAAAATACCCCTACTGTTGCTCTGACATACTAAACCAGAGTTCAGTTCCATAATCATTGCACTGGATATGGCCCTAGAAACAATTGTAGCTGGTGTTACACGTGTCTTTACACAAAGGTTGGCACAACATGGCCAGAAGACTCTGGAGACAGAGAAAAAATAAACAAAGCTTCCATGAACACTAGTTTGTGGCTGAGAATGATCCACGCGGTGTCCAAAATTTGAACCATCTCCAAGTGATTTCCCGCCTGTGCCACCCCACGTCCCCTTGTATAAGCTCTCCCTGCAACACCCACAAGATCATCCACTCCCATCAGCCTCCCCTCGTATAAGCTCTCCCTGCAATACCCACAAGATCATCCACTCACACCAGCCTCCCCTCCATCAGCCTGTAAGCCATTTTCATCATCAGCCATGCCCATAGATCTCAACATTCCTCCTGATCAACATGGAGAGCTCTTACCTGATCTCAATGAAGAACCTGCACATGAGGAAGATGAAATCGCTCATCTCCAGGAAGATCAACTTCATGAAGATGAAGCCCAACTTCCAGATCAACATGGAGAGCTCTTACCTGATCTCAATCAAAAACCTGCATATGAGCAAGAAGACAAAATCTCTCATGTCCAGCAAGATCAAGTTTATGCAGTTGAAGCCCATTTCCAAGGTCAGCCCCTACATCTTCATCACAATGAACGCCTTGGTATGCATGTCATCGATCTCAACGTTTATGCTTCCGAGGGAGAACACGAACATCATGAAGGTAATTCTTTTTCTATTGATTGTATTCAGACAACAATAAGAACCAGCTCAATTTTAATTATCTACTTAAAACTAGAATCATACTTGAATTACATATTGTGCCTCACCTCATTGTAGTAGTTGGAGTACAGGAAGAGCATCCGCAAGATGCATGTCTCATCTTTGGTGGTCCACATGAATTTGATATAAACTTTGAACCTTCTGATCTGCAGCGACAAATACATCAAGTTCACAGTAAGCTTACGACCTGCTAACCTTTTTCTTTTCAATGGCTGAATACGCCTGCAGTTACAGTTCTCCAATACAGAAAATTAACAGCAGTTACAGTTCATCGCTTATACCAATAATTATTTACTTGTACCAACACTCATAAGTGAACCGAAAATTGAACTAAGAAATACTCCTACACAATTGCTCCACAACTCACCATTTCATTCTTTTGTAGGCATGGTGGAGGCCATGGATGAGTATGGTGTTCACACTGACCCTGAGGACATAGTCTTCAATGAAGAGGAGTTGGATGACTCGGATGTTGAAGAACATCACAACATTGAAGTTTCTGAGCAGCAACAAGAGATGCAGCAAGTTATCAGTGAGTACACCATCATCAATCCTTTGTCATTTAATTTTCCAAAGCACGTTGAATTGAATAGTTCAAACATTAAGGGGTTTCCTTCATATATGCTGTAATCATAATGGGTACAGATTACTACTAAAAGGACATTAAATATCTAATGTTCAATGCACCTAATCCAACAGACCTGATTGGTTTTTGTAACTCATGTCAGTTAAATTGATCTTCAAATCTTAACCAACTGCTCTACAATAACTCACCTTGTAATTCCTTTTTTGTAGACATGATGGACGACATGCACGAGTATGGTGTGTATGCTAATGCTGTGGAGGTACACTTCGATGAAGAGGAGTTGGAGGACTCAGATGTTGAAGAAGATCATCATGCTACTCAGAATAGAGCACGTCCAAACAGAAATTTGACAGATGCCGAACGACAGCAAATCTATGAAGCATTGCTTGAGAGAAGCAACCATGGAAGACTAAAGAGAAAAAGCACAACTGTAGTTGCTCAATTGTTCAAAGTGAGTAGGTATCGAGTGCAACGCATTTGGCAGAGAGCGAAGCAATGCCGTGCACAAGGAAGGCCAGTGGATGTTAGATCAAGAATGCCCAAGAAGTGCGGGCGCAAAAAGGTACAAGTAGATCTATCTCAGATTCTTAGTGTTCCCTTGCATAGGAGGAGCACTATTCGATCTCTAGCAGAAGCCATCGGTGTAAAAAAGAGCACTCTACATACGTGGTTCAAAGAAGGGCTACTACGACGCCACTCTAGCACACTAAAGCCATTGTTGAGGGAAGAAAATAAGAAAGAGAGGCTACAATGGTGTATTTCCATGTTAGATAAACGGACATTGCCAAATGAACCCAAGTTCATTGAAATGGACAATATCATCCATATAGACGAGAAGTGGTTCAACACAACATCCACGTACAGGAAATAGTATATGCTACCAGATGAGGATGACCCACATAGGACTGTGCAGAATAAGAATTTCATTGGTAAAGTTATGTTCCTAGCAGCAGTTGGAAGACCTATATATAATGATGCAGGTAATTGCATTTTTGATGGGAAACTAGGAGTGTGGCCATTTGTTAGAAAGGTACAGCATAGTACACTTGTTTCGCTATCTTACATCAATTTTTGGTACTCATTTGTTATCCCGACTTTGTCTCTCATTTACTGCAGGAAGGAGCAAAACGAAGAAGCCATAATAGAGGGAGAGGGGCCCAAGTCACTAAGCCTATTAAGGTGGATCGAACTACTATGAGGTCGTACCTGATTGGTAAAGTTCTAAAAGCTGTTGTTCGAAAATGGCCACGAGAACTTAGAGGAAAAACCATATATATTCAACAAGACAATGCCCCTTCACATGTGCCAGTAGATGACGCAGAATTTGCTCAAGCTGTAGCACAAACAGGGCTCGACATACGACTCGTCAACCAACCTGCAAATTCCCCAGATTTGAATGTACTAGACCTGGGATTCTTTGCATCTCTCCAATCGTTAACCTACGAAAGGATCTCTAGGCATTTGGATGAGCTGATTCAGAATGTCCAAAACGAGTTTAATAACTATGATCCAGACACTTTGAATAGGGTGTTCCTAACACTACAAGGGTGTTTGATTGAGGTGATGAAAGATGGAGGAGGAAACAGATATAAAATTCCTCACATTGACAAAGACAGGCTCGAAGCGCTAGGCATGCTTCCTAAAAGCCTTAGTTGTGACCGACAACTCTATGAGACAGTGATGAAGTCCTTAGAAAAATAATGATGGACATGAGTAAACCCCACATGAGTATTTTGATAGTCCTGTAATATAAAGGAATAAGCCTTTTGCTACTGCTATAATTATATGTCCTGTAATATAAAGGAGTAAGCCTTTTGGTACTGCTGTAATTATATATCCTGTAATATAAAGGAGTAAGCCTTTTGGTACTGTTGTAATTATATAAAGTTTTGAACTTTAAATGGTTTGTGGCAACTGTTTCCTATGTTGGTGGTGTTTTAATTTCAGAAACTTCTCTAGGCCTAAAAGTTCAGCTCATGATATATAGTAAATAGTAAATAGATAAGTTGGGTTCAGTTTACATGCAAAGAATGGAATGTATAAACTGCAGAACATATAAATGGGAATGTAAAAATTATTTGGCCATGATGTTGTACTGTTATACGAGTAATAACCTCATTATATCATATCAGAGAGTCGAAAACATTGTGAATTTACCTATACAGATTTATAAGAACACCAGTTTCATTATGTAGGATAATTCTTATTTACCAAAAGCAGCATTTCATCATCATGCATATACAACAGTTCATCATTTTGGAGACCTAAATAGCAGTTTATCGCAGCAACTAGCAACCTGTCGGGCATGTTCTGGTTGCTGCCCCGTAGGATTTCCTCGGCCGCATTCACATTCTTGCAGACATCTGCAGCGCAGCACGTACCGGCAAGCGTATTAGCCATGCACGTATATGGGCATCTGCATCTGCATGCGTACGAGTGGCTGTTGGATGGATCGGCTTACCCGACTTAGCCGAAATGTTGTTGACGAGGTCCGCGAGCTCGCCGCTGCCATCGCCGCTCTCCTTGTTGGCCTTCCTCTTCTTCCTCCAGAACGTCATGTTCCTCCACCTTTTCTTCTTGCTATCTGGCGTGGAAGCCGGCGCAGACGTCGACGCCTCTTCCTTGCCGCGCACAACACCAGGGGCGGAGGCGGACGGCGAACAGCAGCACGCGTCCGCACTGCGGAGGAACTTCTTGCCGTTGCTGCATCTCTTAGCGGCCGATGTGAACAGGCCCATCGTGGGACCGACGCGAGATGGGCAGTGCACCCTCGGGTTGATCCGCGCGAGGAGGGTGGCCAGATTTCTTGGGGATACTTCTACACTGACGAGGGCACCCTCGGGTCGATCCGGCAGGCCGACGGCACCTGCCGTCGCCTCGAGACATGCGCGCGTCGAGGATGAGGAGCTACTAGAGGAGAGGAACGGGGAAAGGAGATCTGCAGGGATGGAGTTCGATTTGAGCGTGAATTAGGGTTCGGGATCAGGATTGTGGATGGATGGGGAAGGAGCTCTGAGGTGGTGCGGGAGTGCTCGGCAGCGGAGGATACGGAGTAGGATGTGGGGAGTCTCGGATGGGGGAGATGAAACGAGTGGCTGAGGGCGTTCGTGTGAGGTTTGGCTGTCGGTCGTGTTTTTTTTAGCGTTAAAGAGACTTCCGTGACCTGAGGGAGAGCAGATGGCGTATAGGGTCTTTACGTGGGTCCCACTTGATGTGATAGCCTGTCATGATACTACTCTAGAATTGCAAAATTTGTGGGACAAATTTAAACTCTAAAATTGCAAAATTTACTGGACGGAGGGAGTAACTCCTTTGGATAGATATAAGCACGTGCTTTTCATCCTGTGCACGAGGAAAAAGATCGGCGCCGGGCATCTCGGGCACGCTAACAAACTCTGGCGGCGCGTGCGTGCGGCCCAAGAGGCTCCGTTGCTACCCTAGCTGCTGCCTATATAAAGGACGCCCAGGACTCCACGGGAAGGCTAATCACATCTGATCAAGCCGGCCACACGAAGGGAGCGCAGCTACTCGCGCGCCTTCGTCAAGAGGGCGACGGCGAGGGGCCACCTGCATCGCCTCTGCCTAGCATCTTTGTGCATCTACACGAGGCGGCTGTGGCACTACGCCAAATACTTACAGCAGGAACGGGGACATTTTTACTATAGGGACGGCTGGGGTTGGGGGCGCCTCTATAGTGGGTATCCTCGGGCCCCAGCAGCCCAGCCGTCCCTATATATGTCATTGTAGGGGCGGCTGGTAACCTGAGCCGCCCCTACAGTTGGGACTGATCTGTAGGGACGGCTCAATCACCAGCCGTCTCAGCAGCAGATGTCACTGTAGGGGCGGCTGGTAACCTGAGCCGCCTCTACAGTTAGGGCTGATCTGTAGATCTGTAGGGGCGGCTCAATCACCAGCCGCCCCTACAGTGCCGACTGTAGGGGCGGCTGAAACTGATGGGGCACGAATAAATAGCAGCCACCCACTTCTTCCACCTCAGGACACACTCTTCTACACACAAAAAAGGTTGGGAGGCCTTAGACTCCTCCTAAAAATTGCTCTACTAAGGGGGGGTTTTAATCTCAAATCCTTTGGTGGAGAGGCTCTAAAAGGTAAGAAAATGCTTCTGCAACTCTTTATTTAAGTTTAATTCGTTGGTTAGTGAGTAATTTGATTTTAGGTTTTCTCTCTCTTCCATGAAGCTTGAGCTAGTTATGAGTGAAATTAGACCCTAATTTTCACTATACTAGGTTAAATTAGGTAGGAAAGTAAGATTGCACCATTTATTAGTACATCTTTGTTGATTTTAGTGTAGTATTAGTGAAGTTTGGTGCATGTGTCATGAAACCCTATATCTAGATCTAGGATTTTGTTTTTTTTTCAATTTTTCCTTTATGTGACTAGGGTTTGCATGTAGGTGAATGTGTAAGATTTTAATTGTTGCTAATGTGTAAAATATCCTCTACCATGGCTACTAATTATCATTTAATATTTATTTTGATTCCTTTCTATAATGTGTGTTTTTAATTAGTTATGGATAAATAGACCATTAATTAATTATCCTCTACCATGAAATTGGAATGGAGTTTACATGAAAGGTAGTGGATGAAATATTAAATGTTGCTAATTGTTTTATTTGAAATTATTTATTTGAACCAATTAATTTATATTTTAAAATATTTATGCATTAATAGTCAATTAATTAACTATCCTCTACTATCATGGTGTGTGTCTCAGGTATATACAATTATTCTTGAGTAATATTCTTTCTTTGGTTATTTTGTTTCTATAAGATGGACTACAGGAACTCTTGAATGTATGGTTTGTTAAGACACGACGCTCTTTTCTGTGATGAGGTGGACAAATTCATCAAAGCCGTAGAGAAGCATGCAGCGACGTTGAAAGAGAATAGCGACACGATTATTTGTCCCTGCAAAGATTGCAAGAACCTTATTGCATTTCGAGATGTGAGTACCATCAAAGAACATCTGATTAGAAGAGGATTTGTTCCGGACTATATTGTAACACCCTAGGTGTTTAGGCTTCCACTAAATTGCATGTCATTTCATAACCATGTGCATTATCTATGTCATCATGTCATTATCATTGAAACATACATATGCAACATTTTAAATTGTATGTGTTTCATGCTTGATTGCTTAGAATGGTAGTAGTGCAACATGTGAATGTAACATGAAACTCTCATACTTGGAAACATGGCAATCTGGTAGTAATGTGGCAATTATAAAATGACAACAAGGTCTTGAAACATGTGAAACATTGCATTACAACATATGAATGAATTGCTGGTTTTACTTTCTTTATCACATGAGATCATTAGAAGTGGTATGACAATTTTGTAAAGTGGGTGATCATGGTCTATTACACCTTAACTATACTTAGGGTACTTGTTGGGACATTGTTCATGTAGATCAAAATGACCAAAATGCCCTCAAGTGCAAGTTTGACTTGAATTGACCCTTGGAGTGTCACTGTTTGACTGATTCAAAAGTCCAACTTAGAAACCTTGCATGGCTGTGCACTTTTTACAAAAGTTGTAGCAAATTTATCAAGGAACAAAAGTCTCAATATGACCATCTCATGAAAATGGCTAGAACATATTCAAAAAGGTCCCACAAGTCAGCATTGATGGTGGATTCAACATTTGAAAAATTTTCTAAGTGTTGGAACTGCTTTCCAGTTTCATGAAGACGACTTTGGAACCTTGTAGATGGAAATCCGTGGTGAATTAGCTCGAGCTTATGTTGAGTCAATTGGAGTACTCACTTAACTCTATCATGTAGTTCAACTGGATTAGACTTTGGCTGAGTCGATTAGGAAATAATCATTGTCAAAGTATCGCTGTCAGGCTCGTAATTGAACACTGAATCGAAGCTACAGTGATCAAGTTTCAGAGTCACCCGGCGCGTGGGTGACACTCATCGCCGACCTTTGTCGCGGCCACCCTACCACGCGTCGCCTCAAGGCGTCGCAGCCGTGTCTTGAAGCCACCCAGCGCTTTGTCCGGACGCCTTTCGCCCCAAATCCCATTTCGCATTTCTCGCCTCCCACCGCACGCGCAGCGTCGAGAGCTCACCGTCCGCCATTGCCGACCACAAGATCGTCGCCGCCGTCGTGGCGCTTCGCCACCACGAAAGTCGCGCTGCCCGGTTCACCCAGTGAGTCGCTGCCGTGATCCCTCCACCTCCTCCACCTCTCGGTCCGGGTAGATCGTGCCTTGGTAAGGGCATATTCGCCGCTTCCGCCCACCGCACCATGGCGGGGAGCTCGCCCGGAGTTGGCGCTCCACGCGCCACCGTCCTCGCACCGTTCCCATTCCCTCCTCTCGCCTCGCGTTAGGTCATAGGAACACCACCGGCTCGTAGAGTCACCGTTAGAATGTGTCGCCGTCGATTCATTCGCCGGGCCGGTCGTCAAGCGTGGTTTGTCTTGTGCCGACGTGTCAGTCGCCAACCCCTCTAGCCGCTACACTAGCACCGATTGAGGTCACCACTAGATGCGCATGGTTAAGGCGAACATCGTAGCGTAGATGGTTTCGCCGGAGAAGCTACCGACGGCGAGTTGCGCCGTCGTCGTCCTCTGCTCCTCGTCATCCCGGCCGACAAGCGGCCTGTGCTCGTCGATCTCCCGACGCGGAGAAGGAGCTAGCTGGGCCGCGCCGAGTGTCTGGCTGCTTGCGCGTCTTGGGCAGCACTTTGTGTGCTCATGGGCCGCCGTGATTCTTTAAATGGCCCAATGAGTCGTGTAGGATTTTCCTATTTTGTTTTGTTTTATTATTTCACAGATTTATGTACATATTGAAAAATATGTAGCTCTTAGATGGTAGATCCAAATGATGTGGTTCTAATTTTGTTGAGTTCCTAGTAATGTCTAGTATTTCATAAAAATATTATATGAGCACATGTTTTAGAAGTTCTGGATTTATTAAATAGGACTTTGAAATGTGTTTTTGGATACATGCAAACTTGTTTGAATTTTATCTTGAGTTTCTGTGGTCTAAAAATTATGAAATTTTGTGGGCAGTCTATTATTGCTTATTAGAAGCTCTGGTTAAAATTTCAGAGCTAGTGCATGTGTAGTTTTTAAGTTATAGAATTTCCTTTTATTAATGGTTGGATCTTGTGTGAATTTTCATAATTTTTCTATAGATCCAGTGAAGGTGAAATTTGATGAGTGCTATTCTTATGCTAGAATGATGCTAGGAAAAATGGGAAATCTATTGCTTGACACTTTTTAATAAGGTTTCCTAATTATGCTCAAATAAGACATGTCACCTGTTATTTTGGATACAGCAAGTTATGTTTGCCCAATGGCTTTGAAATTTTTATGGTAGTCTATGTGTAGCATGAGATAGCTACTGTAATTTTTGTAGATTTTTATGAATAGTTTTACTATATATTGCTTAAATCACCTAATTAACTAAATAAATTGGAAAAGGATATTAAATAAATTATTTAGAAGTTGGCACTATACTTTCTGATGTTTCTTAGGTATGAAAAACAAGTTGGTAAACTTGGTTTGGTCAAATTAGGCTTTTGCATCATCATTAAATAATTAAGTTAGCAACCCTGTCATTGCGGGACAGATTCTAGGTTTACTAGAATTTGATTTGGTTAACTTAAGAATCATGCTTTGATGTTTACAAATAAATTGTAGAGAATTTCATAAGCTTTCCAGAATGTCCTCTTGCAAGTCATTTGGATTTGTAGAACTCTGGTTG